TAAAGTGTTGATCACGCCCGATCTGTGTTTCTGATGCAACAGGGTATCAGCAGAACCTGTTGAACTCTTTCTCACATCCTGCCCTGAAAAACGGCCTGCTGAAGTTTTACCCCCATCCTATACAACTCCACACCACCCCGGAGGACTTCAGATCATTCATTAGTCTGTGTCAAAGTTTATGCTAAAACCAAAGACATCCCTCTCACGTTTCTTTAAACGTACTCCCTCAAAAACAGCCGCCTCCATATTGAAATAGACTCTTTCTTAAATGGAGAGTTTTATACCATAGGAAGAAAATCCAGCAAAAGCCAAACACTCGGCCCTGGTTTGCGCTTGAATGTTCTGCAGCCATCGCCCACTGAAACCAGCACTACGATAACACAATTGCTGAATATATAACTGTCGACATTCATTGGGACCGAGTTCTAGTAAATTCATAGTGTAGCTATGTACAAGCGTTTCAGGCCAAGGTCGAAAGCAAACAATTTGGGTCCCGGGAATTCTGTAAGATATCTATAAAAATTCTGAACAGAAGCAATGCGTCAGTGCTTACTATAAATATGACCCTCAATTTATCCCATCCTCGGCAGATATCGCAAAGCTATCTTCGTCTCTGACTTAACGTTAGATGACAAAGAACATCCACTTCCCGTCTTACCCCATATCACAATCTCAGAAATATTTCATCACAGTCGGGAAGTCTAAAGTCTTCTCAAAAATCTAGATTAAGAAGGTTACTGCTCCAGATAAAACGGAAATAATTGTCCTTAAGAATATTACCTCTGCGTTATCCCGGATCTTAGCAAAATTATTTAATCTTTCAAGATTAAAATTATTTAATCCTTCCGAAGTCTGCGAAGATGACAAGTGTATGCTCTGTTCTCAAGGACACAGGTGAAAGTTTACCACGTCTCTTGATAGCTTTGTCAGTGTCATTCGAAAGCTTTTAGAAGTTATAATTAAAGAAAAGGCGCTCATAGGGCCAATGTCTCTATTAATGTTTCTCGAGTGCCCAGGCTTGTAGAGGAAATCAACACTGTATAAAAGACAGTGCATCTACTTAAATACGTGTAGGCACTATAATATGTATATATATATATATATATATATATATATATATATATATATATATATATATATATATATATATATATATATATTTTGGGATTGTTCGAAGACTTAAAAAGCGTTAAGGAAAACTCTAAGTGAGAGATTGTTAGTTGGAAGAAAATAGCATCACAAAGTCGTGTGCTGCGTCGCTTTTGCAACATGGGTAGGGGATGTTGCCGCTTAGTAAAATCACTGACCAACATCTTTTCATATATATATATATATATATATATATATATATATATATATATATATACAACGTTTTCCCCTTGTGAAGTATTGTTAATTAATTCGAAACTTTTAAAATCATTTATTTTACATTCAACATCATCACTTGATAAGACACTGAGAGTGTTGAAACAAAATGGCTATTTTTGTAGTGATTTAATAGCATATTTATGTTATAAGTTTTTTTAAATAATAATTATATATATATATATATATGTGTGTTTGTGTGTGTGTTTGTGTGTGTGTGTGTGTGTGACATTTGCATTGTGGGTAATCTATTCCTTCCTAGACCAAAACAAACTATTAAATAAATGACCTAAGCAAATCCCCCGCAAAATTTTATCCTACCCTAATGAAACATGAAACAACGAAAAGAATAAATTATACAAAATGAAAATGAAAAATGAGTAAAATAAATTTCCCCAAACAAATAAATAAACAAACAAGCCACTCCCGCAATAATAAACGTCAGAACAGAGTACCCACAATGCACTACTGACCCATATATATAAATAATCGAGGAAAACTTCAGCATTCGCGGTCTGACGATTGTGTCCAGCATGAAACAGCCTGTCGCCTCTTCATGTTGACTTTTATATATATATATATATATATATATATATATATATATATATATATATATATATAGCACGTAAGCTGCCATGTGATAATATTACTGAAGGGGAACGTATAGCCCTCGATACGCTGACACATAGAGATGACCTAATCATAAAATCATAACACAGGCTGACAAAGGGGGTGACAGTGATCTGGGGAATCGAAGAATACATTAAATAGGCCAACAAACAGCTACCCGACAAAGAAACCTATAAAAGCATACCTCGAGATCCCCTTCCAGAATACCAAAAAGAATTAACTAGCTTACTAAACATAATGCTTCGCAACAATCTAATCGACACGGAAACATGCACAGCACTTACATCCACAAACATTACACCTGCTCGTTTCTATCTCCTTCCTAAAATACACAAAAGCAACAACCCAGGAAGGCCGGTTATTTCATCGTTCAACTGCCACACGACAAAAATTTCCAAATACATAGACCATTACATACAACCGCAAGCTAAGGAAGTAAAATCCTACATCAGAGACACAACAGATTTACTGAACAAAATTAATCACATACAAACAGTACCAGAGAATGCTATTCTAGTGATTATGGACATTAGGTCACTCTATTCAAACATTAAAAACATCGAAGGGCTAACCGCGCTTCAGGAAGCACTTACTAAAAGAAGAAAACAGGACCCCCCCCACAGAAGTCATCATAAAACTCATGGAGCATGTCCTTACATAGAATACTTTCAACTTCAATGGAGCACACTACCTTCAAATAAGAGGTTGTGCCATGGGCACCATTGCAGCTCCATCATATGCTACAAAATTCATGGGAAAATTTGAGGAGACCCATATCTATCCAATCATTGGTAGCGACTGCGTATTCTATGCAAGATATATCGATGATATATTCTTTGTATACACGGGTAGTGATGACAAACTTACGTAATTCCTTATGACCCTAAACACAGTGCACGACTCAATTAAGTTTGACTATGAAAAATCCACAACATCAGTAACATTTTTAGACACCCGCATTTACATAGATGAAAACAGGAAACTACAAACGACACTACACACTAAAATCATCGACACCCACAACTATCTACACTTTAAGTCTTCCCACCCTAAACACCTCAAAGAGAACCTTCCCTATTCACAAGCACTTAGACTCAGAAGGATATGTTCCAACAATGAAGAATTAAATAAACACATTGAAAATCTGGAGCATCAATTCACAACACGTGGCTATAAACAACACCTAATCAGGGAACAAATAAATAAAGCAATTTCTACACCTAGAGAAGACACACTAATGTACAAGATTAAAAATAAATCTAGCCGCAGTAACCACTTTCAACCACCCTCTGCCTCCACTATCCCAAATAATCAAACGTCGCTGAGAAATACTACATCTCAAACTAGACCTAAAAAAATTGTTTAAGGAACCCGTCCTTCTTGCATATCGTAGACCTAAGAACCTAAAAGAAATCATAGGTAGTAACCACATTTCAGGGGACGAGGTAATCCGTAATAAACTAAGAACAAAAACAACAGGATTTTCCCAACCATGTAACAACAAAAGAAGTTTATGTTGCAACCATATTAAAAACACGAATTCATTCACTAGCTCAATCACTAAATCTACTTTCAAAATCTACCACGATTCTAACTGTAGAAGTCATAACATAATTTACCTATGCCAGAAACAATATGTAGGAAAATCTGAATGGCCCTTTCACTACAGAATTAATAATTATCGTAAGCGAATTAAGTCGACTCCCCATGAAAAATTATTACCTGTAGAACAACATTTTCCGCCTGGAAAAACATGATTTCAAAACCCATGCCAAATTCACTATAATTGAGAGAATAGAAAAGTTCAGAGCAGATAACATTAGAAAGATTTTAGAGTCCCATGAAAATAAGTGGATACAACGTTTAAAAACACACTATCCAGCCGGGCTAAACCATAAATTTAACAATATATAGATAGTACCAATAAATAACTCAACAAATCAAAACCTACCCACATTTCTCACCCACACAAGACAGACATGCTTACGGAGGTGTGAAGTCCTCACACTTATATACACACACCCACACGAATATACACACTTACACACATCATACTCACTCACTCCCTAATGAGCCAAATGATAACACACACCCACAGCAATACACACGCTTACACATATCAAACTGCCTAAGAACCAAATAACACACACACAAACACTAAACAGAGACACATCCCCTCACCAGGTCCAATAAAACTGTCAAACTGACCAGGGGGATTCAGAGAAGCATAGATCCATCCAACTCTTATCTCAAATAACAACTTAAAAGAGACTGTTTGACCAACACAAGGAATGTTAAAAGATTCATGTTAAAAAGATAAAAAAATAAAATAACAAATGAAAACTACAGACAAAAGTTCATTTTCTCCAACAAAAGACATTCATTTCTGTAGTTCACTGCCAACAGCAAGCAGAAATATTTCTCCTCCCGATGATGGCCATTTTGGTCGAAACTAGTCGAGGAATCTAAATGGAATAATAATAAAAAAAACGAAAGAATATTAATCTACAACCCAATGTGTCTAAAGATTTTAATTTTTTTATTTTTTACTGTTCAATATATATATATATATATATATATATATATATATATATATCGATATCAGTGCATATGATTTCTTTACTGTTCTTCGCTCTTTATCTTTATAAATACTCCCCTAGAAAAACTAGTACACAGATGAAAACTCGTACATGCAGACATATACAGATATGTTTAGGCGTATATTAAGATCACCTGAATGTGTACTCACTTACACAAGCCTAACTTAAATATCAATTATTATTTGTCAAAGATAGACACTTGCCAGCATGTCTAACTGTTACTGTCTATTTGCATTTGTATTCTATAAATGATTGCCATTTCGCTATTTTCAGGAAGATCTAAGGATGCGCCAAAGTTTAACAAATGGTTTAAGAAGCAATGCAGAGAACTTGGTCAGAATGGCGACATATATGTTGGATGTTTAACAATTTGAGTTATAAGCATCGGAAAAGGTATTTTATGGCTCACTGTAATAAACAGTAGAGTGAATCATTGTTGTAACTGGAGACAGCAATATGATGAGAAAAGAAATATGTAAAGAAGGAAGGAAGAAAGGAAGGAAGAAAAACGAAAGTGTAACGAACAAAGGATAGAAAGATGGAAGAAAGAAAGGAAGAAAGGGAGGGAGGAAAACGGAAGTGTAAAGTGCGAAGGATAGAAAGAAGGAAGAAAGAAAGAAAGAAAGGGAGGGAGGAAAACGGAAGTGTAAAGAACGAATGATAGAAAGAAGGAAGGGAGAAAGGAAGAAAGGAAGGGAGGAAAACGGAAGTGTAAAGAACGAATGATAGAAAGAAGGAAGAAAGAAAGGAAGAAAGGGAGGGAGGAAAACGGAAGTGTAAAGAACGAAGGATAGAAAGAAGGAAGAAAGAAAGGAAGAAAGGGAGGGAGAAAAACGAAAGTGTAAAGAACGAATGATAGAAAGAAGGAAGAAAGAAAGGAAGAAAGGGAGGGAGGAAAACGGAAGTGTAAAGAACGAAGGATAGAAAGAAGGAAGAAAGAAAGGAGGAAAGGGAGGGAGGAAAACGGAAGTGTAAAGAATGAAAGATAGAAAGATGGAAGAAAGAAAGGGAAAAAGGGGGTGGAGGAAAAAGGAAGTGTAAAGAACGAATGATAGAAAGAAGGAAGAAAGAAAGGAAGAAAGGGAGGGAGGAAAACGGAAGTGTAAAGAATGAATGATAGAAAGAAGGAAGGGAGAAAGGAAGAAAGGGAGGAGGAAAACGGAAGTGTAAAGAACGAATGATAGAAAGAAGGAAGAAAGAAAGGAAAGAAAGGGAGGAGGAAAACGAAAGTGTAAAGAACGAAGGATAGAAAGAAGGAAGAAAGAAAGGAAGAAAGGGAGGAGAAAAAATGAAAGTGTAAAACGAAGGATAGAAAGATGGAAGAAAGAAAGGGAAAAAGGGAGGAGGAAAACGGAAGTGTAAAAAATAATGATAGAAAGATGGAAGAAAGAAAGGGAAAAGGGAGGAAGAAAACGGAAGTGTAAAGAACGAAGGATAGAAAGATGGAAGAAAGAAAGGAAGAAAGGGAGGAGAAAACGAAAAATTGTAAAAATGAATGATAGAAAGATGGAAGGGAGAAAGGAAGAAAGGGAGGGAGGAAAACGGAAGTGTAAAGAACGAAGGATAGAAAGAAGGAAGAAAGAAAGGAAGAAAGGGAGGGGAAAAACGGAAGTGTAAAGAACGAAGGATATAAAGATGGGAGAAAGAAAGGGAGAAAGGGGGTGGAGGAAAACGGAAGTGTAAAGAACGAAGGATAGAAAGAAGGAAGAAAGAAAGGAAGAAAGGGAGGGAGGAAAACGGAAGTGTAAAGAACGAAGGATAGAAAGAAGGAAGAAAGAGAGAAAGAAAGAAAGGGAGGGAGGAAAACGGAAGTGTAAAGAACGAAGGATAGAAAGAAGGAAGAAAGAAAGGAAGAAAGGGAGGGAGGAAAACGGAAGTGTAAAGAACGAAGGATAGAAAGAAGGAAGAAAGAAAGAAAGAAAGGGAGGGAGGAAACGGAAGTGTAAGGAACGAATGATAGAAAGAAGGAAGAAAGAAAGGAAAAAGGGAGGGAAGAAAACGGAAGTGTAATGAACGAAGGATAGAAAGAAGGAAGAAAGAAAGGAAGAAAGGGAGGGAGGAAAACGGAAGTGTAAAGAACGAAGGATAGAAAGAAGCAAGAAAGAAAGAAAGAAAGAAAGAAAGAGAGGGAGGAAAACGGAAGTGTAAAGAACGAAGGATAGAAAGAAGGAAGAAAGAAAGGAAGAAAGGGAGGGAGGAAAACGGAAGTGTAAAGAACGAAAGATAGAAAGAAGGAAGAAAGAAAGAAAGAAAGAAAGGGAGGGAGGAAAACGGAAGTGTAAAGAACGAAGGATAGAAAGAAGGAAGAAAGAAAGGAAGAAAGGGAGGGAGGAAAACGGAAGTGTAAAGTACGAAGGATAGAAAGAAGGAAGAAAGAAAGAAAGAAAGGGAGGGAGGAAAACGGAAGTGTAAAGAACGAAGGATAGAAAGAAGGAAGAAAGAAAGGAAGAAAGGGTGGGAGGAAAACGGAAGTGTAAATAACGAAGGATAGAAAGAAGGAAGAATGAAAGAAAGAAAGAAAGAAAGGGAGGGAGGAAAACGGAAGTGTAAAGAACGAAGGATAGAAAGATGGAAGAAAGAAAGGAAGAAAGGGAGGGAGGAAAACGGAAGTGTAAAGAACGAAGGATAGAAACATGGAAGAAAGAAAGGAAGAAAGGGAGGGAGGAAAACGGAAGTGTAAAAATGAATGATAGAAAGATGGAAGAAAGAAAGGGAAAAAGGGAGGGAAGAAAACGGAAGTGTAAAGAACGAAGGATAGAAAGATGGAAGAAAGAAAGGAAGAAAGGGAGGGAGGAAAACGGAAGTGTAAAGAACGAATGATAGAAAGATGGAAGGGAGAAAGGAAGAAAGGGAGGGAGGAAAACGGAAGTGTAAAGAACGAAGGATAGAAAGAAGGAAGAAAGAAAAGAAGAGAAGGGAGGGGGGAAAACGGAAGTGTAAAGAACGAAGGATAGAAAGAAGGAAGAAAGAAAGGAAGAAAGGGAGGGAGGAAAACGGAAGTGTAAAGAACGAAGGATAGAAAGAAGGAAGAAAGAAAGGAAGAAAGGGAGGGAGGAAAACGGAAATGTAATGAACGAAGGTTAGAAAGAAGGAAGAAAGAAAGAAAGAAAGAAAGGGAGGGAGGAAAACGGAAGTGTAAAGAACAAAGGATAGAAAGAAGGAAGAAAGAAAGGAAGAAAGGGAGGGAGGAAAACGGAAGTGTAAAGAACGAAGGATAGAAAGAAGGAAGAAAGAAAGGAAGAAAGGGAGGGAGGAAAACGGAAGTGTAAAGAACGAATGATAGAAAGAAGGAAGAAAGAAAGGAAAAAGGGAGGGAAGAAAACGGGAGTGTAAAGAACGAAGGATAGAAAGAAGGAAGAAAGAAAGGAAGAAAGGGAGGGAGGAAAACGGAAGTGTAAAGAACGAAAGATAGAAAGAAGGAAGAAAGAAATGAAAAAGAGAGGAAGAAAACGGGAGGTAAAGAACGAAGGATAGAAAGAAGGAAGAAAGAAAGGAAGAAAGGGAGGAGGAAAACGGAAGTGTAAAGAACGAAAGATAGAAAAGAAAGAAGAAAGAAAGAAAGAAAGAAAGGGAGGGAGGGAGGAAAACGGAAGTGTAAAGAACGAAGGATAGAAAGAAGGAAGAAAGAAAAGGAAGAAAGGAGGGAGGAAAATTAAGTGTAAAAGTACGAAGGATAGAAAGAAGGAAGAAAGAAAGAAAAAGAAAGGAGGAGGAAAACGGAAGTGTAAAGAACGAAGGATAGAAAGAGGGAAGAAAGAAAGGAAGAAAGGGAGGAGGAAAACGGAAGTGTAAAGAACGAAGGATAGAAAGAAGGAAGAATGAAAGAAAGAAAGAAAGGGAGGGAGGAAAAAACGGAAGTGTAAAGAACGAAGGATAGAAAGAAGGAAGAATGAAAGGAAAAAAGGAGGGGGGAAAACGGAAGTGTAAAGAACGAAGGATAGAAAGATGGAAGAAAGAAAGGGAGAAAGGGGTGGAGGAAAACGGAAGTGTAAAGAACGAAGGATAGAAAGAAGGAAGAAAGAAAGGAAGAAAGGAGGGAGGAAAAATGGAAATGTAAAGAACGAAGGATAGAAAGAAGGAAGAAAGAAAGAAAGAAAGAAAGGGAGGAAGAAAAACGGAAGTGTAAAGAACGAAGGATAGAAAGAAGGAAGAAAGAAAGAAAGAAAGGGAGGGAGGAAAACGGGAGTGTAAAGAACGAAGGATAGAAAGAAGGAAGAAAGAAAGGAAGAAAGGGAGGAGGAAAACGGAAGTGTAAAGAACGAAGGATAGAAAATGAAGAAAGAAAGGAAGAAAGGGAGGGAGGAAAACGGAAGTGTAAAGAACGAAGGATAGAAAGAAGGAAGAAAGAAAGGAAGAAAGGGAGGAGGAAAACGGAAGTGTAAAGAACGAAGGATAGAAAGAAGGAAGAAAGAAAGGAAGAAAGGGAGGAGGAAAAACGGAAGTGTAAAGAACGAAGGATAGAAAGATGGAAGAAAGAAAGGAAGAAAGGGAGGGATGAAAACGGAAGTGTAAAGAACGAATGATAGAAAGAAGGAAGAAAGAAAGGAAGAAAGGGAGGGAGGAAAACGGAAGTGTAAAGAACGAAGGATAGAAAGATGGAAGAAAGAAAGAAAGAAAGGGAGGGAGGAAAACGGAAGTGTAAAGAACGAAGGATAGAAAGAGGGAAGAAAGAAAGGAAGAAAGGGAGGGAGGAAAACGGAAGTGTAAAGAACGAAGGATAGAAAGAAGGAAGAATGAAAGAAAGAAAGAAAGGGAGGGAGGAAAACGGAAGTGTAAAGAACGAAGGATAGAAAGATGGAAGAAAGAAAGGAAGAAAGCGAGGGAGGAAAACGGAAGTGTAAAGAACGAAGGATAGAAAGAAGGAAGAAAGAAAGGAAGAAAGGGAGGGAGGAAAATGGAAATGTAAAGAACGAAGGATAGAAAGAAGGAAGAATGAAAGGAAAAAAGGGAGGGGGGAAATCGGAAGTGTAAAGAACGAAGGATAGAAAGATGGAAGAAAGAAAGGGAGAAAGGGGGTGGAGGAAAACGGAAGTGTAAAGAACGAAGGATAGAAAGAAGGAAGAAAGAAAGGAAGAAAGGGAGGGAGGAAAACGGAAGTGTAAAGAACGAAGGATAGAAAAAAGGGAGAATGAAAGAAAGAAAGAAAGGGAGGGAGGAAAACGGAAGTGTAAAGAACGAAGGATAGAAAGAAGGAAGAAAGAAAGGAAGAAAGGGAGGTAGGAAAACGGAAGTGCAAAGAACGATAGATAGAAAGAAGGAAGAAAGAAAGAAAGAAAGAAAGAAAGGGAGGGAGGAAAACGGAAGTGTAAAGAACGAAGGATAGAAAGAAGGAAGAAAGAAATGAAGAAAGGGAGGGAGGAAAACGGAAGTGTAAAGTACGAAGGATAGAAAGAAGGAAGGAAGAAAGAAAGAAAGAAAGAAAGAAAGGGAGGGAGGAAAACGGAAGTGTAAAGAACGAAGGATAGAAAGAAGGAAGAGAGAAAGGAAGAAAGGGAGGGAGGAAAACGGAAGTGTAAAGAACGAAGGATAGAAAGAAGGAAGAAAGAAAGGAAGAAAGGGAGGGAGGAAAACGGAAGTGTAAAGAACGAAGGATAGAAAGAAGGAAGAAAGAAAGAAAGAAAGAAAGGGAGGGAGGAAAAAGGAAGTGTAAAGAACGAATGATAGAAAGAAGGAAGAAAGAAAGGAAGAAAGGAGGAGGAAAACGGAAGTGTAAAGAACGAAGGATAGAAAGAAGGAAGAAAGAAAGGAAGAAAGGAGGAGGAAAACGGAAGTGTAAAGAACGAAGGATAGAAAGATGGAAGAAAGAAAGGAAGAAAGGGAGGAGGAAAACGAAGTGTAAAGAACGAATGATAGAAAGAAGGAAGAAAGAAAAGGAAGAAAAGGGAGGAAGGAAAAAAGGAAGTGGAAAAGAACGAAGGATAGAAAGATGGAAGAAAGAAAGAAAGAAAGGGAGGAGGAAAACGGAAGTGTAAAGAACGAAGGATAGAAAGAAGGAAGAATGAAAGAAAGAAAGAAAGGGAGGGAGGAAAACGGAAGTGTAAAGAACGAAGGATAGAAAGATGGAAGAAAGAAAGGAAGAAAGGGAGGGAGGAAAATGGAAGTGTAAAGAACGAAGGATAGAAAGAAGGAAGAAAGAAAGGAAGAAAGGGAGGGAGGAAATGGAAATGTAAAGAACGAAGGATAGAAAGAAGGAAGAATGAAAGGAAAAAGGGGGGGGGAAATCGGAAGTGTAAAGAACGAAGGATAGAAAAGATGGAAGAAAGAAAGGGAGAAAGGGGTGGAGGAAAACGGAAGTGTAAAGAACGAAGGATAGAAAGAAGGAAGAAAGAAAGGAAGAAAGGGAGGAGGAAATGGAAATGTAAAGAACGAAGGATAGAAAGAAGGAAGAAAGAAAGAAAGAAAGAAAGGGAGGGAGGAAAACGGAAGTGTAAAGAACGAAGGATAGAAAGAAGGAAGAGAAAAGGAAGAAAGGGAGGGAGGAAAACGGAAGTGTAAAGAACGAAGGATAGAAAGAAGGAAGAAAGAAAGGAAGAAAGGGAGGAGGAAAACGGAAGTGTAAAGAACGAATGATAGAAAGAAGGAAGAAAGAAAGGAAAAGGGAGGGAAGAAAAACGGAAGTAAAAGAACGAAGGATAGAAAGAAGGAAGAAAGAAAGGAAGAAAGGGAGGGAGGAAAACGGAAGTGTAAAGAACGAAGGATAGAAAAAGGGAGAAAAAAGAAAGAAAGAAAGGGAGGAGGAAAACGGAAGTGTAAAGAACGAAGGATAGAAAGAAGGAAGAAAGAAAGGAAGAAAGGGAGGTAGGAAAAACGGAAGTGCAAAAGAACGATAGATAGAAAGAAGGAAGAAAGAAAGAAAGAAAGAAAGAAAGGAGGGAGGAAAACGGAAGTGTAAAGAACGAAGGATAGAAAGAAGGAAGAAAGAAAATGAAGAAAGGGAGGAGGAAAACGGAAGTGTAAAGTACGAAGGATAGAAAGAAGGAAGAAAGAAAGAAAGAAAGGAGGGAAAAATGGAAGTGTAAAGAACGAAGGATAGAAAGAAGGAAGAAAGAAAAGAAAGAAAGGGAGGGAGGAAAAAACGGAAGTGTAAAGAACGAAGGATAGAAAGAAAGGAAGAAAGAAAGAAAGAAAGAAAGGGAGGGAGGAAAAAGGAAGTGTAAAGAACGAATGATAGAAAGAAGGAAGAAAGAAAGGAAGAAAGGGAGGGAGGAAAACGGAAGTGTAAAGAACGAAGGATAGAAAGAAGGAAGAAAGAAAGGAAGAAAGGGAGGGAGGAAAACGGAAGTGTAAAGAACGAAGGATAGAAAGATGGAAGAAAGAAAGGAAGAAAGGGAGTGAGGAAAACGGAAGTGTAAAGAACGAATGATAGAAAGAAGGAAGAAAGAAAGGAAGAAAGGGAGGGAGGAAAACGGAAGTGTAAAGAACGAAGGATAGAAAGATGGAAGAAAGAAAGAAAGAAAGGGAGGGAGGAAAACGGAAGTGTAAAGAACGAAGGATAGAAAGAGGGAAGAAAGAAAGGAAGAAAGGGAGGGAGGAAAACGGAAGTGTAAAGAACGAAGGATAGAAAGAAGGAAGAATGAAAGAAAGAAAGAAAGGGAGGGAGGAAAACGGAAGTGTAAAGAACGAAGGATAGAAAGATGGAAGAAAGAAAGGAAGAAAGGGAGGATGAAAACGGAAGTGTAAAGAACGAATGATAGAAAGAAGGAAGGAAGAAAGGAAGAAAGGGAGGAAAGGAAAAACGGGAAGTGTAAAAAGAAAGAAGGATAGAAAGGATGGAAGAAAGAAAGGAAAGAAAGGAAGAAATGGAGGAAAAACGGAAGTGTAAAGAACGAAGGATAGAAAGAAGGAAGAAAGAAAAGGAAGAAAGGGAGGAGGAAAACGGAAGTGTAAAGAATGAATGATAGAAAGAAGGAAGAAAGAAAGGAAGAAAGGGAGGCAGGAAAATGGACGTGTAAAGAACGAAGGATAGAAAGATGGAAGAAAGAAAGGAAGAAATGGAGGGAGGAAAACGGAAGTGTAAAGAACGAAGGATAGAAAGAAGGAAGAAAGAAAGGAAGAAAGGGAGGGAGGAAAACGGAAGTGTAAAGAACGAATGATAGAAAGAAGGAAGAAAGAAAGGAAGAAAGGGAGGCAGGAAAATGGACGTGTAAAGAACGAAGGATAGAAAGATGGAAGAAAGAAAGGAAGAAAGGGAGGGAGGAAAACGGAAGTGTAAAGAACGAAGGATAGAAAGATGGAAGAAAGAAAGGAAGAAAGGCGGTGGAGGAAAACGGAAGTGTAAAGAACGAAGGATAGAAAGATGGAAGAAAGAAAGGAAGAAAGGGAGGGAGGAAAATGGAAGTGTAAAGAACGAAGGATAGAAAGAAGGAAGAAAGAAAGGAAGAAAGGGAGGGAGGAAAACGGAAGTGTAAAGAATGAAGGATAGAAAGATGGAAGAAAGAAAGGAAGAAAGGGAGGCAGGAAAATGGACGTGTAAAGAACGAAGGATAGAAAGATGGAAGAAAGAAAGGAAGAAATGGAGGAGGAAAAACGGAAGTGTAAAGAACGAATGATAGAAAGAAGGAAACGAGGCAGTGTAAAGAACGAAGGATAGAAAGAAGGAAGAAAGAAAGGAAGAAAGGGAGGGAGGAAAACGGAAGTGTAAAGAACGAATGATAGAAAGAAGGAAGAAAGAAAGGAAGAAAGGGAGGGAAGAAAACGGAAGTGTAATGAACGAATGATAGAAAGAAGGAAGAAAGAAAGGAAGAAATGGGGCGGAGGAAAACGGAAGTGTAAGAATGAATGATAGAAAGAAGGAAGGAAGAAAGGAAGAAAGGGAGGAAGGAAAACGGAAGTGTAAAGAAAGAAGAATAGAAAGAATAAATGAGGAAAGAAAGGAAAACGGAAATGTAAAGAACAATAAAGGAAGGAAAGAAGGAAGGAAAGAAGGAAGGAAGGGAGGGAGGTAGGAAGGAGGTTTAGTCCTATTGATTAATCTAACGACTTATCAACCCTTGTCAGGATATTTAATGTCGAATATAAGACTTATAGGAGTAAAAATCAATGAGTTAATAGATTGGTAGATAAAATATCCGGTTTTCACGGGAATCAAAAAGGTACACATATGTTCTTTTTGCACTAAAGTACAAAAAAAAAGTACATTGGTCCAGTTCTCGACAAGATTCAAGAAAACAAACGTTGAATAAAAGCACTTCTACAAGTATTCATCTAGAATGAGATGCACGTGTGGATGGGGTGGTGTCTTAGCCATCAAGATGGAATTAAGTCAGGGGATTCGAATATCTGCCAATAAGATTAAAGCAAAGGTAGGGTGGTAGTAGTATCAAGAAAATGGAGAATAAAGCTAAAATAGAATAAAAATAAGCGAAAAAGTAAAACAAATACAGACATAGAAAAGGCTAAACCAAGATGATGTAAAAATATTTTCTGAGCGACTGCACGGTTCAATCTCTCTGTTCCGGATAGTGGAACACACCTATTCTATAGGTTAAACTAGACTCTCCCACCTATAGCTTAATGGCTTGGGAAGTAGGAGTCAGTCAGTGGGGGTGACTGAATCAGTCGATGTCGGACATTCTGAGCGACTGCACGGTTCAACTCTCTGTCTCCGGACGGAGAGGAACCCGAAGGAGGCTACGCCGAAGGGCGGAGTCTCCTTCGGGGAGTTTCCTTCCCTGAACCCGTTTATACGGGTTCAAATGGGCTATTTTTTTGGGCCCCTGGGAATGCCCACGTTAAAAAGGCCTTGTGCCACATGACACCCCTCGTGGGGGGTGACTGAATATCGGTCGATGTCGGACATTCTGAGCGACTGATCGGTTCAACCTCTCTGTCTCCGGACGCCCCGAAGGAGGCTACGCCGAAGGGCGAAGTCTCCTTCGGGAGGTTAACACCCTGAACCCGTTTAAAATTTTTGGCCGAGCCTAATGGCTCGGGAATGCCCACGTTAAAAAGGCCTTGTGCCCATGACACCCTCGTGGGGGACTGAATATCGTCAGTCGATGTCGGACATTCTGAGCGACTGCACGGTTCAACTCTCTGTCTCCGGACGGAGGAACCCGAAGGAGGCTACGCCGAAGGGCGAAGTCTCCTTCGGGAGGTTAAATGGGCCCTGAACCCGTTTATACGGGTTCAAATGGGCTATTTTTTGGCTGAGCCTAATGGCTCGGGAATGCCCACATTAAAAAGGCCTTGTGCCGCATGACACCCTCGTGGGTGGGTGACTGAATATCTCAGTCGATGTCGGACATTCTGAGCGACTGATCGGTTCAACTCTCTGTCTCCGGACGGAGGAACCCGAAAGGAGGCTACGCCGAAGGGCGAAGTCTCCTTCGGGAGGTTAAACCGGCCCTGAACCCGTTTATACGGGTTCAAATGGGCTATTTTTGGCTGAGCCTAATGGCTCGGGAATGCCCACATTAAAAAGGCCTTGTGCCGCATGACACCCTCGTGGGTGGGTGACTGAATATCTCAGTCGATGTCGGACATTCTGAGCGACTGATCGGTTCAACTCTCTGTCTCCGGACGGAGAGGAACCCGAAGGAGGCTACGCCGAAGGGCGAAGTCTCCTTCGGGAGGTTAAACGGCCCCTGAACCCGTTTATACGGGTTCAAATGGGCTATTTTTTGGCTGAGCCTAATGGCTCGGGAATGCCCACATTAAAAGGGCTTGTGCCGCATGACACCCTCGTGGGTGGGTGACTGAATATCTCAGTCGATGTCGGACATTCTGAGCGACTGCATCGGTTCAACTCTCTGTCTCCGGACGGAGAGGAACCCGAAGGAGGCTACGCCGAAGGGCGAAGTCTCCTTCGGGAGGTTAAACCGGCCCTGAACCCGTTTATACGGGTTCAAATGGGCTATTTTTTGGCTGAGCCTAATGGCTCGGGAATGCCCACATTAAAAAAGGCCTTGTGCCGCATGACACCCTCGTGGGTGGGTGACTGAATATCTCAGTCGATGTCGGACATTCTGAGCGACTGCACGGTTCAACTCTCTGTCTCCGGACGGAGAGGAACCCGAAGGAGGCTACGCCGAAGGGCGAAGTCTCCTTCGGGGAGGTTAAACCGGCCCTGAACCCGTTTATACGGGTTCAAATGGGCTATTTTTTGGCTGAGCCTAATGGCTCGGGAATGCCCACATTAAAAAAGGCCTTGTGCCGCATGACACCCTCGTGGGTGGGTGACTGAATATCTCAGTCGATGTCGGACATTCTGAGCGACTGCACGGTTCAACTCTCTGTCTCCGGACGGAGAGGAACCCGAAGGAGGCTACGCCGAAGGGCGAAGTCTCCTTCGGGGAGGTTAAACCGGCCCTGAACCCGTTTATACGGGTTCAAATGGGCTATTTTTTGGCTGAGCCTAATGGCTCGGGAATGCCCACATTAAAAAAGGCCTTGTGCCGCATGACACCCTCGTGGGTGGGTGACTGAATATCTCAGTCGATGTCGGACATTCTGAGCGACTGATCGGTTCAACTCTCTGTCTCCGGACGGAGAGGAACCCGAAGGAGGCTACGCCGAAGGGCGAAGTCTCCTTCGGGGAGGTTAAACCGGCCCTGAACCCGTTTATACGGGTTCAAATGGGCTATTTTTTGGCTGAGCCTAATGGCTCGGGAATGCCCACATTAAAAAAGGCCTTGTGCCGCATGACACCCTCGTGGGTGGGTGACTGAATATCTCAGTCGATGTCGGACATTCTGAGCGACTGATCGGTTCAACTCTCTGTCTCCGGACGGAGGAAACCCGAAGGAGGCTACGCCGAAGGGCGAAGTCTCCTTCGGGGAGGTTAAATCGGCCCTGAACCCGTTTATACGGGTTCAAATGGGCTATTTTTGGCCGAGCCTAATGGCTCGGGAATGCCCACATTAAAAAAGGCCTTTGTGCCGCATGACACCCTCGTGGGTGGGTGACTGAATATCTCAGTCGATGTCGGACATTCTGAGCGACTGATCGGTTCACCTCTCTGTCTCCGGACGGAGAGGAACCCGAAGGAGGCTACGCCGAAGGGCGAAGTCTCCTTCGGGGAGGTTAAAAACTCGGCCCTGAACCCGTTTATACGGGTTCAAATGGGCTATTTTTTGGCCGAGCCTAATGGCTCGGGAATGCCCACGTTAAAAAGGCCTTTGTGCCGCATGACACCCTCGTGGGGGGTGACTGAATATTGTCAGTCGATGTCGGACATTCTGAGCGACTGATCGGTTCAACTCTCTGTCTCCGGACGGAGAGGAACCCGAAGGAGGCTACGCCGAAGGGCGGAGTCTCCTTCGGGAGGTTAAACCGGCCCAGAACCCGTTCATGCGGGTTCAAATGGGCTATTTTTTGGCCGAGCCTAATGGCTCGGGAATGCCCACGTTAAAAAGGCCTTGTGCCGCATGACACCCTCGTGGGGGGGTGACTGAATATTGTCAGTCGATGTCGGACATTCTGAGCGACTGATCGGTTCAACTCTGTCTCCGGACGGAGAGGAACCCGAAGGAGGCTACGCCGAAGGGCGGAGTGTCCTTCGGGGAGGTTAAACCGGCCCTGAATCCGTTTATACGGGTTCAAATGGGTTATTTTTGCCCTGGGCTCGGGAATGCCCACATTAAAAAAGTTTGTACGCATGACACCCCTCGGGGTTGACTGAATATTGCCAGTCGATGTCGGACATTCTGAGCGACTGATCGGTTCCTACGGATACGCCGAAGGGCGAAGTCGGGAGGTTATGGCCCAGAACCCGTTTATGCGGGTTCAAATGGGCTATTTTTGGCCCCGCCTAATGGCTCGGGAATGCCCATTAAAAAGGCCTTGTGCCGCATGACACCTCGTGGGGGTGACTGAATATTGTCAGTCGATGTCGGACATTCTGAGCGACTGATCGGTTCACCTCTCTGTCTCCGGACGGAGAGTAACCCGAAGGAGGCTACGCCGAAGGGCGGAGTCTCCTTCGGGGAGGTTAAACCGGCCCTGAATCCGTTTATACGGGTTCAAATGGGCTATTTTTTGGCCGAGCCTGATGGCTCGGGAATGCCCACGTTAAAAAGGCCTTGTGCCACATGACACCCTCGTGGGGGGTGACTGAATATTGTCAGTCGATGTCGGACATTCTGAGCGACTGATCGGTTCACCTCTGTCTCCGGACGGAGGAACCCGAAGGAGGCTACGCCGAAGGGCGGAGTCTCCTTCGGGGAGGTTAATCGGCCCAGAACCCGTTTATACGGGTTCAAATGGGCTATTTTTTGCCGAGCCTAATGGCTCCGGAATGCCCACGTTAAAAAGGCCTTGTGCCGCATGACACCCTCGTGGGGGGTGACTGAATATTGTCAGTCGATGTCGGACATTCTGAGCGACTGATCGGTTCACCTCTCTGTCTCCGGACGGAGGAACCCGAACCGAAGGAGGCTACGCCGAAGGGCGGAGTCTCCTTCGGGAGGTTAAAACCGGCCCTGAACCCGTTTATACGGGTTCAAATGGGCTATTTTTGGCCGAGCCTAATGGCTCGGGAATGCCCACGTTAAAAAAGGCCTTGTGCCACATGACACCCTCGTGGGGGGTGACTGAATATTGTCAGTCGATGTCGGACATTCTGAGCGACTGATCGGTTCAACTCTCTGTCTCCGGACGGAGAGAACCCGAAGGAGGCTACGCCGAAGGGCGGAGTCTCCTTCGGGAGGTTAACTCGGCCCAGAACCCGTTTATGCGGGTTCAAATGGGCTATTTTTTGCCGAGCCCCTGGCCGGGAACCCGTTAAAAAAAGGCCTTTGTGCCATGACACCCTCGTGGGGGGGTTGAATATTGTCAGTCGATGTCGGACATTCTGAGCGACTGCACGGTTCAACTCTCTGTCTCCGGACGGAGGAACCCGAAGGAGGCTACGCCGAAGGGCGGAGTCTAATTCGGGAGGTTAATGGCCCAATCCCGTTTATACGGGTTCAAATGGGCTATTTTTTGGCCGAGCCTGATGGCTGCCACATGAAAAAAGGCC